AAATGAACTTCAAAAATCCAATCAGGGGCAACTTACACGATGCTTAGAATGTCAACCATCGTTCTCAGAGTGTCAACCATCGTTCTCAGAGTGTCAACCATTGTTCTAAGGAACTCACACATACTAACTCAATCTTCTCCACTCTAGAAGCTGGCTGCCCCCCTTACACATATGAAGAAACTAGAACACGTTGAGGGTCAAGCTTGGTGGCTCACGCCTGTAATCCCAATACTTTGGGAAGCCGAGGCAGCCGGATTACCTGAAGTCAACAGTTCAAGACCAGCCTGGTGAAACTCCATCTCTAGTGAAAATACATAAATTAGCTGGGTGTGGTAGCGGGTGCCCATAATCCCAGCTACCCGGGAGGCTGAGGCAGGAGAACTGCTTGAACCCAGGAGGCAGAGGTTCCAATGAGATCACGCCACTGCACTCCAGCCTGGGCAAGGGAGCAAGACGCCATCTCAAAAAAATAAAAATATAATTTTTAAAAATAAAAAAAATAGGCTGGGCGCAATGGCTCATGCCTGTAACCCCACCACTTTGGGAAGGCAAGGCGGGTGGATCACCTGAGGTAGGGAGTTTGAGACCAGCCTGACCAACATAGAGAAACCCTCAACTGTAGATCATCAACTTCATTAGATCTCTCCTCCTTAGTATGGTTGTTAAAAAAAGAAAGAGAAAGGAAGAAAGAAAGAAACAAATAAACAAACCCCATCTCCACTGAAAATACAGAATTAGTCAGACATGGTGGTGCATGCCTGTAATCCCAGCTACTTGGGAGGCTGCGGCAGGAGAACTGCTTCAGTCGGGAGGTGGAGGTTGCAGTAAGCTGCAATTACGCCATTGTACTCCAGCCTAGGCAAGACTGAAACCCCATCTTGAAATAAAAAATAAATAAATAAAACACGAGGAACTACTACCCCAACATCACAACTAGTAAGGGATACCACCCGAGTCTGAACTCACTATAACCACTATATTATAACACAAAGACCTTAATGGGCTTTTATGATTTTTCTTACATAAGTTTTTAAGAAGATACACTGGGAGGATAGTCAGACATACTATTATTTGCTACTGCTTATTAAGTATAGGCATGGAACTTAATCTCCATTGGCAGTATTTAGAAAGGCTAATTCACCACTGCCAATCTTGAAGTAGGAAATACAGCAGCTCCCAAGAAGATAGCCTTTCTTTTTCTTTTTTTTTTTTTTTGAAGACAGATGGATTCTCGCTCTGTCCCCAGGCTGGTGTGAAGAGGCAAGATCTCAACTCACTGCAACTCCACCTCCCAGGTTCAAGCGATTCTCCGGCCTTAGCCTCCCAAGTCGCTGGGACTACAGGTGCACACCACCGGGCCCACCTAATTTTTGTATTTTTAGTAGAGATAGGGTGTTTCACTACATTGGCCAGGACGGTCTCCATATCTTGACCTCGTGATCCGCCCACCTCAGCCTCCCAGGGTGCTGAGATTACAAGCATGAACCACCGCACGCGGCAAGACCCCATCTTAGTAAATGGTGCTGGGGAGAGTTCAGCACAATGATTTGAGTCCTGTGAATTTCATTTACCCAGGCAATCACTTGACCCAGTTAGTGGAGATGCTCAACTGTACCTCATCAACTTGATTAAAAACACAAGTTTTTAGAAGAGCTGCACAGATCAAGACTAACAAAACAGCTGGGAAAATTCCGCAGATGCAGTCATCTAAGACAGACCCAGGTTTGAATCCTAGCGCTCATTTAATCATTTTGTGGCCTTGCACAAGTGAATTAACTTCTTTGCACCCCTGTTTCATCATCTACAAAAGGAGCCCAACACTACCTCATAGGATTAGCCTGGGGAATAAATGGCAGAGAAAGCACTTCACACCTCCTAGAGGATAGCTCCCAGCACCTAGTTCCTCTCCCCTGGCTCTCGGGTAACAGGGCAATTAACTGTATCTTTACAGAATCCAATCTCAGAGAAGTAAATAGCCAAATCTCTCCAGGATCAGATCTCTCATAGAGCCTTTTCTTTTTAACTCAAGTTTCTGTTGGTGGCACTGCAGGAGACGGTACTTAAACTGAACGATACTCAGCAATTCTTCACTCCACAGCTTTAGGGTCCTAGCCCTTCTCTTCTGCCAGAATGTCTGAGCACAAAGTATAAATGTCTCATGTTCGCTGCTTTCCTTTTTTGCATTTCAGTGACTTATACTGTAAATGCTATTTGTGAAATGAGTCCAATTCACGTGTACTAGAAAAATACACGTTCTAGTGAGTGCCAATGTTTCTGCCATCTCTCCCCTGACTTCCTACCATTCATATTCTTCTTTTCTTTTTATATAAATGACACCAAAATTCAACAAACCCAACAAATTATTTCAACCAACTTCATCAAAATATGTCAAGTCAGAAATTCTTTATAATAGTACTGGCTACAAATTGTAGAAGGGAGATTCCTGTGTCAGCTGCTCATCTGACAGGGTTGTATACATACTGCACTGCTATATATGAACTGATGGATTTAATCAACAGGTTGAGGTTCAAAAGGTCTACTAGTCATATTTCCTTCTATCAGTAGCCCCCATGTTTATATTATCTTCTGCCCTTTCTACATGTTAGCTTGAAAGGCTCCTAATACACAGGAAGCTGGTGTCACGGTAATCATGCAAAACCTTTAATTAGGTGTCCAGAACACAAATATCAACGCAAATTTAATATCAGATATTAAAACATGGACATACGTTTTAAAATGCTGAACACTTCTTTGAAGCAACTAACGCAAAAATATCTCTGCAAGGGGCCACTCACTCCATTTACCACCAGTGTCACCCACATTAGCAACCACAGCTAAACTGATTTGGTGAGCTCTGCAACCATTTTTATGCCATTAACATGTCACTTTATTAAGTTCCTTAACAGTAAGAAAAACTTTTCCCAGGCACGTAGTTTTCATGCCCCATACAGTTTAGTATTTTGTCCTGTAGGTCTGATTCTAACAATTCAAACGGCAAAAAAAAAAATAGGAGTTATTACGACTTTAATGATTGTGATTACATACATCTCAGTGCAGGATAGGGGTGAAAAGAAAATCATATTACAAACGAACAAGAAAACCTGGATTTACGAGCAAGAAGCCCAATCACACATCACACGCCTAACTGCTCTCAGGCTGAGTTTCCTCCTGCAGCCCCTCCCCCACAGGTAAATGCTAACTATTTCTAGAACTCTCAGCAACAATTTGGGAAGCTTGCCATCAACTCCCATGATACCACCCAACATACACCATGTTTTCGGGGAGACAAAGCTGCCCTACTTCCCCAGACTATAAACTTATTAAAACCGTGAGAACATACAATCTCAGGAAGTCAGGATTACTAAAATACATCCATGTAGCATAGGTCTTATTTTAATAAAAATGAAAATGAATCACGCTGGAAAACCCAAACAGTCACTCATTTTATCTTCAATATGTAATCGAAATTATTTATTCAAAGTTGTTGCAGGTAAGTGGATGAAAACACCACGAGGGCCTTATTATTATCCAAACTGGTGAAGGAGCCTTTAAGGAAAAAAGGAGGGGGTAGAAGATCACTTAATTATATGAAGTGGGGAATGGAAAAACCATTCAGTCTTCAAATTCAGACTAAAAATAACTTGTCATTTTCACCCACCACATTTTATTAACAAGCTTGTTTAGATCAGCATACGGTTTCTGTTTGCGAAACAAGAAAGTGAATAGTAAACTTTCCTAAGTCAACTGTAAATCACATAGGTACGAAAACTCCTCACCCCCGGTGCCCGCACAGGCCAAGATTTTAAGTAAACTACAGACACTGAGAACACCTAATTTTTAACTAGGTCCCAACATTTCTCGTTTGGAATCATCAAATTATCTCAGAGACACTTAGATAACCTAACAAAGAGAGCATTTTTTAAAAGCCACAACCCAAATTTTACATGAAACACACCATTTTCACAGCCTAAATTTAATCCCGGTTGCCACTGCGAAGTGATGCCTGTTTCAGCAAATTAAGAACTTCCAAAAATACGGAACACGTTAACACACGCATGGCTTCCCTCGAGCTGCCATTTAAGATTAATATTCCACGTAAATAAAAGTCTGCTTCTGTTCAAAAAATTAAATCGGTTGCAAAGAGGAAGTGACAGAGAAACCACCCTCACAACGTGGCCTTTACACTGTCAGAAAATAACGTGACTGTGCCACCCAAAACTTACCAGGAAGCTGGCAATAACTTTGCCAATTCTACACTCCTGAACCGAACTTCAAAGAGCCTCCACCAAATACCTCCTTAAGACGATAAAAAGCACTAAGTTACAAATAAACACGTCCCGGAGCAAGGCCCGGCGGCCGCGCGCCCCTCCCCCGGCCGGCGCCCCCGCCCCGGACGCGCGGCCCCAACAGCCGCCCGCAGCCCCTCGCACGGCGGCCGGGGTCGCCGCGCCCGGGCCGGGGACGCGCCCGGGGAGGGGACATTTCCATTGCTGCCCGAGGTTTCACAAAACAGCATGCACCGAAAAGCTCCTTCTCCTCTGCTAAAAATAGGCTATAAAGGAGTCGGCCTCATGATGGCTCCTTGATTCAATTTGCTGCAAATCCTTTCCTGAAAGCCTCCCCCCCCATACACACACGCACAAAAAGGGGGTGTAAATGCACGAAGGGTGGAACAGGGGGAGAAGGCCGAGGTGCACATTTTCGGGGACAGCATAATTAGGGTGAGGATCCCCCGAGACCAGGAAAGGGCAGGGGGTGGGCAAGCACGTGAGCATTTCAAAGAAACCTGAGAGGAAAACGGGGGGATGGGGGCGCCCCAAGTGCCCTCCCTGCCTTCCCCTCCCCCACGCAAGCCCAGTTCCCCCAAGGGCCAAGTTGAAAACGCATGTTCCACTCGCGCCCATCCCCCCGCGGCCCAGCGCCCCCGGCCGCCTCCGGCCCGCGCCCCCCGCCCAGGCCCGCGGCCGCCCCCACTCCAGGGTCCGGCCCCCAGCGCTTACCTGGAAACGGTGGCCTCCAACGCCGCTCCCCCCTCCCAGGAATGGAGGCACAAGGAAATTCCCCTCCTCGCCGCCGCCGCCGCCACCGCCTCCAACCACCCCCAAAATAACCCCTCCGGGGGGTGAGAGGCAATTATAACCCCAGCGAGCGGAGGGCGCGGGGGATGGGCGCCGGGCGGGCGGGGGCGGGGAGCGCGGCGCGGGTCCCCAGGTGGCGAGCGGAGGTGCTCCCGCCGCGGGGGGAGGGGCGGGGGCGCACGCGGCCGGCGGCGGGGGGAGGCGGCGCGCGGGGGAAGGGCGCGAGCGGGAGAGGAATTGAGGCAGAAGGTAAAAGCTGTTACTAAGGGAAAGAGCCAAACGGTTCGGAGCAGCCAACGGCTCAGACACTCAACACTGGGGAGAGAGGAATGGGGACCAGCCAGGCACAAATGAGCTCGCGAGGCCCGCGGCGGCGGCGGCGGCGGCCGCGCAGCAAAACAAACCCGAGCGGCCTGCGCCGGGCGGGCGGGCGGGCGGGCGCGCGGGGGAGGGGCCGGCGGGGGAGGGGCGCCGCGGACGCGGTGGGGGGAGGCGGCGGCGTGGGGGGGTGGGGGGGGACTCCGGCGGCCGCGCTCTCCTCCCTCCCTGCCCGCTCCGGCGGCGCTGGGGGCTGGGCGTGTGCGGCGCATTCTTTTAAAAACCGGGCGAGCCCGCGGGCGCTCGGAGGCGCCTCGGGGCCCGGCCGCCCGCCCCGCCCCCACCCCGCCGCCGCGGGCCGGCCTGGGCGTGCTCGGTGTGGGCCGCGGGGCCCCGGGTGGGTGGGGGCGGGGAGCCCGCGTCGCGGCCGCGGTGGCAACGCCGGCGAAGTTTCCGAAGGAGGCCGCGGGCTCCCGCGTGTCCGGGGGGCGGCCCGGCGGCGCTGGGGGCTGGGCGCACACGCGGCGGCATGTGCGGGAGCGCGGCGCGGCAGCGGAGGGACGTTTGTTGTGAAAGTCTCTGTGCATACCTTTGTGCGTAAATACATATGGTCCTCCGAAGCGTACCTGGAAAGGTGCTTTATCTGCAATAAGCGACTTTGCAAATGTGATCCAGAACACGGGATCTGGAGAGAAAACACGCACCCAAGAAAAGGTTTCTGATACTAAACACAAACCTGTAATTGAAGTGTTTATGCCCACATGTACTGCGAAGCAAGCATATGGTGGTATTTATCATCTGGTGGGTCTGTTTGAAAGGTTTGGTCGATCAGTTCTTATTTCACAAAAATAAAATAATGTAACTAAATGTTTACTAAATATATACCTCCACGGCGGCATCCACAGTAGAAGTTTATCCACTTTGTGTACTTTCTGCATGCGTGAAGCACAGGAAGGCGGTTTATAAAGTGTAACTTAGTTGAGTGACAATGTGGCAGTATGATTGAGGGAGGGTTGTTTTTAAAGAAGGGCAGCCCCTCAGAGGTTTTGAGACAAATGGGGTGGTAATCTTTCTAAGACTTTCAGAAAGCTGGGGTGGGGGTGCTTCTTAGAGCTCTGTTTAAGCTCAGCACTGGAGAAGCAGCCACCCTTTTAGTTAAGATACGACTTGAAACCTTTTTGTTATTTCGGTTATTACTGCCTTCAATATAATGTTTGCAGCTTTCTTAAAGGTGAAGGGTACTGTTTTTATACTTTCATTACAATATTTTAAGTAGGTGTAGTGATCATTTTAAAGCAACCATCTTTTCATGTGAATATCAGAAGCCTAAAGTTCTGCATACACACACACACACACACACACACACACACACACGCGTATTACTTGAAGTAACTTGCACCAGTCTGGACTCCCGGTGGCCTAATAAGTTCAGTGATTAGACAGGTGCTTACTTAGCCAAGGTCACTGTCTCTTTTCCCCATGAGCCCTTGCTTGGGGGAGCTGCCAGAGGCCTTTCCTGAATGACACACTGGGACGGGGAGCAGGAAAACTATCAGAGGGAAGGGAGTGGGATTGGAAACTCCCTTCCAATCACCAGAAAGAGAGTTCAGAGCCTATCAGTGGTGTGTCCTTAGAGGTATTTTCATGTATGAAAGAGGGAATGTTGGATTAAACAATGTCACCCGATGGGAATTTAGATAACTGCAGGTTTCCAAAACACTGTGCAGAGTGTACTGGGAAACAGCACAAAGCAAGTTTTGCAATTCAGTTGGATTCTGAAGCTGAGGCTTGTTTACCTCAGAACTAACACCTTTGAAAAGACTTCATTTCAGAATTGATGAGTATAGTAGCTTCCTTTTGTTTTTTTGGAGTTGATTAATGACATGTATGTCACTAATCATACCCTGTCTTCAATAAGTACACTGTCTCTAAGTTGAGCCACCCAGTGAAACATACCTATTGGATTACTTGGATTGTTTTTGAAGTTTCATATTGTGCCACCACAGGTGGGTCTTCTCCATACAGCAGTGACCATAAAATCAAACCACACTTTCAGTGAATGAGGATTTCTCAAGCATACCAGTTATTTTTTTTTTTTTAAAGACGGGGTTTCACCATGTTGGTCAGGCTGGTCTTGAACTCCCGACCTCAGGTGATCCACCCGCCTTGGCCTCCAAAGTGCTTGGATTACAGGCGTGAGTCACCAAGCCCAGCCTTAGCATACCAGTTTTTAAAGAGTCATGTTCAAAGCTGTCCACCCCACCCATTTTCCCTCCCCTAAATGACTTCTATCCCTTACTCCACAAGGGGGTAGGCACCCTCTGATCAGACCATCCAGCCTGAAGTTCTTACACCCTACACCAACCTGCCTCCTAAAGTTGTTCGGTGTTGGTTGAGCCTCATTGAAATGATAATAAAAATGTATGCATTTGTTTATATCGCTGTAGTTTACAAGCTGTTTCTGTGCATAAATTACTGCCTTTGAATATCGTGAAGATCATTGAGGTTGGGGACTTGTACCATAAATTCATTCCAATAAAGTGTACTTTACTCACCACTGTTGGATCATACTAATTGAAGAGAGACCTGGAGTACTTTTATTTTTTAATTTGTATTTTTTTTTTTTTGAGACAGAGTTTCGCTCTTGTTACCCAGGCTGGAGTGCAATGGCGCGATCTCGGCTCACCACAACCTCCGTCTCCTGGGTTCAAGCAATTCTCCTGCCTCAGCCTCCTGAGTAGCTGGGACTGCAGGCATGTGCCACCATGCCCAGCTAATTTTTGTATTTTTAGTAGAGATGGGGTTTCACTATGTTGACCAGGATGGTCTCGATCTCTTGATCTCGTGATCCACCCGCCTCAGCCTCCCAAAGTACTGGGATTACAGGCGTGAGCCACTGCGCCCGGCCTGGAGTACTTTTAAACAAAAAAAAGCTGGGGGAGGCACCCAAATGTGGAAAGGCCTTGATTCCTCCAGCAAAGGGGGTTTTAAATAAGATCATATTTTGATCACTTTGATTTCTATATTTTGGAAACTATCTGAAACAACAGTGTGGCTTCAACATGGAATAATCAGAGAAATAAAGCATTATTCAAAGGTCACATGTATTGTCACCTCACCCTCTAGCTGTCCCAACATATACAGCATAAAGGATCAGGGCTGCACGGAAATACAAGCAGTGATTAGACTCACTGGGTGAGGAAAGGATGAAGAAGGAACTATTTTACTAATTTTCAGTACTTTGTCCTAATCTAAAAATGCCATTACACTTTGAATTAAATGTCAATATGTTTCTAGAAAGGAAAGATGGTTACTAAGAAATTGTAAAGCAAAGGAATGCATGAAAAATTTCTTGGCCACAGGCGTGGTGACTCACACCTGTAATCCTAGCACTTTGGGAGGCCAAGGCGGACAGATCACGATGTCAAGAGATGGAGACCATCCTTGCTAACAAGGTGAAACCCCGTCTCTACTAAAAATAGAAAAAATTAGCCAGGCACGGGAGCACGTGCCTGTAGTCCCAGCTACTGGGGAGGCTGAGGCAGGAGAATCACTTGAACCCAGGAGGTGGAGGTTGCAGTGAGCCAAGATCGCTCCACTGCACTCCAGCCTGAGCAACAGAGTGAGACTTGGTCTCAAAAAAAAAAGTTCTCTTGAACTTTCTAACTAATTACTCAATAAAGAGAAGCCTCATACCAGTACTGTTATCAGAAGTTACATATGTATTTATGTATTGTAAAATGACTAAACAAATATTTCAGTAATTTTATTCTCAGAGGAGTGTGGTATGGCAAGATAGCCTACATCTTTGCAAGTTTCATCACTCAAGACGTGGACTATTTTAAAGTTAAAGTGGCCGGGCGCGGTGGCTCAAGCCTGTAATCCCAGCACTTTGGGAGGCCGAGGCGGGTGGATCACGAGGTCAAGAGATCAAGACCATCCTGGTCAACATGGTGAAACCCCGTCTCTACTAAAAATACAAAAAATGAGCTGGGCATGGTGGCGCGTGCCTGTAATCCCAGCTACTCAGGAGGCTGAGGCAGGAGAATTGCCTGAACCCAGGAGGAGGAGGTTGCGGTGAGCCAAGATCGCGCCATTGCACTCCAGCCTGGGTAACATGAGTGAAACTCCGTCTCAAAAAAATAAATAAATAAATAAATAAATAAAATAATGTTAAAGTGGTTTAATCCCAGGACTACACGGTCTCATTACGGTATATATTTTTAAATCATCATGATGTTTTAAATTGTTTACATTGGTTCATCTACATAAAGTATTCAAAACAAACTTAATTGCATAAAAAAGACATTTGATACCAAAAATATTCTGCTAGTGCTATAACTGATGTTATAGTCTTTACTTACCCTGGAACTCAGCGACGTTTACCCCAGGCGTCTTGCTGATACCCTCTGATGTTTCTGTTTCATTTTGACTTCCCTTGTGCAATTCTTTGTGGTTCTTCCGAGATGAGGCACATGCCAGCGACACATCTCGAGACCTCAGTACAAAAGCTGCTTTTCTCCTTCAATGCATAGTGTGTTGCTTGTGACCTTTCCTCATTGGTGTGAACCTTGTCACAGTTTTCCATGCTTCTATGACCCAATTTCATTACCACAATAAACTTTACTTGAGAGTCTTCATTTAATTTACAAAAGAAACACACAACTATCTTAAAAGTGTTTATGCCTCTCAGATAATGAAAATAGCAGGTCATATTCTGCGATTGTGATTCAGTCAAAACAGAAAACCAACCACACACGCAGGACGTTGCTGTACCAGTCGCTTACTTATACTGACCAGCCACATTCTTCCTCAGGGGAGCACTCAAGGCCTAGTATTATGTTGATGGTTTTGCTATTCATTCATTCAATGTTTATTGAATGTTTTGTGTGCCAGGCACTGTTTCAGTGAACCAAAAACACAGCCCCTACTCTTCACGGGGCTTACATTCCAGTCCCGCATTGGGTGAGAGTTGGGAGTACAGACAGACTTTCAAAAAATATGTCTATATTAGGCTGTTTGATCACTGTAAAAAACAAAGCAATATAAAAATGGCTTAAACGGCCGGGCATGGTGGCTCACGCC